AGTAACTCTTTCCCTTTCTTTCTTTTCTTACTCCACGATATCACTGGAGCCCAAGCTGCAAGAAATTCTTATCTCATATTCTGTCACAAACAACAATAGAACGACATCCCAGTGAGGGAACAAAACATTATCTCAAATATCCCGGCAAGGGAATTACTATACCCACATTAGTTCCAACATCTAACCACCACATTAGTTCCAACATCTAACCACCACAGCTATAACCAACCTATTACCACACTTGACCACCTCAGCTATATCTAACCGACTACCACACCCAACCAACCCATCTATAACTATAGTCATCATACGAAACAAGGAAACATTAACCTAAGCGACCCTAGTATCCGTTAAGAACACAATGCAGAGGAATCACAACCCAACAATAGCCCTCCTCTTTCTCACTTTTACTTCACAATTCTTTTCACAACTCGAGCAGATGCTCCAGAGGTTTAATTATCACTTATACTTTCGCAATTCGTTCTACAACTGGAGCCGACGCTCCTCAATGAATCAAGTCATTTCATATACTTTCAATATTCGTATCACTGTTCGAGCCAATGCTCCTAGGAATCAAATTATCATATCACCATTCACATGTTATTCACAACATATAGAAATACTCCAATAAACATGAAATTCACAATCAGTTCATGATAACCACATTATAAGGACTCACGGTCATGCTAGACACCAATGTATAGATACTCGTCACCATGCCTATACATCGTACTCGATCACATAGCAATTAGCAACAAGACTCAACTCCTATTCCCTCAAGCTAGAGTTAAACCAAACACTTACCTCAAAGCCTTGAAATCCACTTAATCCTCAACTATCGCTTTACCTCGCGGTTCCACCTCCAATTCGCTCGAATCTAATCACAAATTGCTTAATTACTTTAATAAACACTATGTGAAACAATTTGAATGCATAAAAATGAATTTCTCAAGTTTTTCCCAAAAATTCCAAAAATGCCCCCGGGCCCACGTGGTCAAAACTCGAGGTTCGAACCAAAATCCGGTTACCCATTCCCCCACGAGTTCAAATATATAATTGGTTTTGAAATCGGACCTCAAATCGAGTTCCAACTCCCCAATTTATGGAAAACTTAGGTTCTACCCAAAAACCCCAATTTCATCCATGAAAATCCTTGATTTCAAGTGGAAAACATGTTTAATGATATTAAAAGTTGAAAGAATTGAGTAAAAATTAACTTACAAATGATTTGGGATGAAGTTTGCTCTTGAAAAAAATCGCCTATGGTGTTTGGGTTTTGAAAGAATGGTGAAAAGTGATGAAAATTCGACTAAGTATAAAATTTGCTGGGCCTCGGATATGGGAAATGCAAACATAGGTTCGGATTTGCGAACAAAACAGGCGTGGGAATTGCGAACATTTTAGTTCGCATTTGCGAACTTGGGTCTTGAGGCAACGCGATGACCCCTACCTCTCATTTGCGAGCCTTTTCCCGCATTTGCGAACACATAGGGAAAATGGGGCTATCGCATTTGCGAAGGAAGACGTCGCATTTGCGACTGGGCAGCCCTCGCATATGCGAACATATTGTCGCATTTGCGACCCAAGCAAAGTCTCCCCTTTTTCGCATTTGCGATCAAGTGCTCGCATTTGCGATCATTTCTTCGCAAATGCGAAGACACCAGCACTGAAAATACCAGATTTTTAAAAATGAGAAAATGCAATCCGATGCCTATCCAAAACTCACCCGAGCCCTCGGGGCTCCAAACCAAACATGCACACAACCTCAAAAACATCCCACGGACTTACTCGCGCGATCAAATCGCCAAAATAACATTATGTTCATAGAATCAAGCCTCAAAACTCATGATTTTCTTCTAAACTTCATAAACTTCCACTTTAGATATTTAGGTCCGAAACACGTCAAATGACGTCCGATTTCGACCAAACTTTACAGAAAGCGCTTAAACAATATATAAGACTTGTTCCGGGTGTCGGAACCAAAATACGAGCCCGATACCAGATTCTTTTAATCAATTTTCATTTCCAATTTCCTTAATAATTTCAGAAAAATAATTTCACAGAAAAATTCTTTCCTCGGGCTCTAGACCTCGGAATTCGACTCCGGGCACATGCCCGAGTCCCATATTTTTCTACGGACCTTCCGGGACCGTCCAATCTCGGGTCCGGGTTCGTTTGCCAAAAATGTTGACCAAAGTCAACTTTAATCATGTTAATATCAAAATTCTTCAAATTTTTCTCAGAATTCACAAATTTCAACATAAAAATTTTTCGGCTACACGCTCGGACTGCGCACGCAAATCGAGGCAAGTAAAAATGAGGTTTTCAAGGCCTCGGAAGCACGGAACGAGTGTGGAAACAGGTGATGACCCTTTGGGTCGTCACATTGGGTTGTTCTAATTCATAGTTCAACAATTAATTATTTCACTTGCTTAACCACTTCGGAATATCGTCATCACCTCCTTGCCGGAGGTGTTTTCCACATTAAGGTTAATATTATATCATTAAGACAGATGATACGACACACTTTCCCTGAAGCCCTATAATGCATTGACTAGTATGGTTATACAATCGATCTTAGATATGATATCTTGTTCGGATTAACTATATTCTGTCGTATCATTCAGATGGAGTTTATTCATAATACTCGCATTAGGTTTTCATATTTTATCAGTGGCTTCAAATCATTGCAAATTTGGCCTTAATAAGTTCATATCATCCTCTCAATATATATATATATATATATATATAAAAGAAAATTAAACCTCCACTTACCTCTGCCTTAGCTTTGGCTTCAAGAATACACTCACACAAATGTCATATCAAATCAATATAAAATACACCTGATTTTTTTTTTAAACATGAATTTTCATCGCAGCAAAGTAAATATTTTTGATGTGTGCTTATATTTGATGCGAATTCTGCTCATGGGCGGATTTACATACAAAAATTGGGTGCTCGAGCACCCATTAACCTTGACTCGGAGTATGTATAATTACATAAAAAATTTAAGGGAACCGATATAATTAAACAACAAGCACACATGTAACAAAAAGCCTAATGGGTGATAGAGGGTTATGAAAGTTGAAGGTTGAGAGATTGAAACTCACTCCTAGCAAGATTAAGATTGTTTTACTCCCTTTTTCTTTTCTTATATTATCAAACACTATTTTTCTTTTGCCCCAATTATTAGGTCATCTTTTTTGCTTTTCACCGACAGTTTTTTTTACCCAATACTACTTTTTTCTTTTAAATTTCTTTTGATTCTGATTTTTTTTCTTTTTTGCTTTTCCTTCTACTTCATCTAATTCACTCTAGCAAAGAAAGAAAATGAAATTTTGTTTTAAAAGAATCAAGAGTTCCTCCGAAACGGTAATATCCACTAATTTTCTTTCTCGTCAATTGCGTTATCCATCATAGTTTTATGGCATTTGTAATATTAATACTATGGGTTTCTCACTAGTTCTTTTATGGTATTTAATTAGTTGCGCACTTATACAATTTGATTGGTGGTAACTTTATGTTAAATAAAAAAAGTTAAGCATCCACCAACACAAAATTCTGAATCCGTCACTAAGTATGTTAACCAGGTAAGACAAAAATAAGCTTTAGTAATATAGTAGCAAATATTGTGATGAGACTATGTGCTATGCTTGTCCACCACTTTTTGTTGTGTTTGAAATCGAAAAAGACAAGTAAGGAATATCTTGTTAATAATACCTTGCATCAAAGGTTTATAATATGTTCTCTAGTATGGGAAATGAAGGTAATATGTTAGGAATAATTTTAGTATTAATATAAAGCTTCCTATTTTTTCCTAAACTAGTTTTAGAATACGTGCGATGCGCGTGTACCTTATAAGTATTTAAAAATCTAACAAATAATATTAAATAATATATTTGAGTTATAAAATAAAATTTAAAAATATAAGCTCTTGAAATGACAAATATTGATCCTATTTAGTTAAAAAATAACGGATGACCTAGCTAAGCATGGAAACAATTCAGATAATTTTAAAAGCTTAATGATCTATCACGTATCCCCCTATGTTATTTTAATATTGTATGAAAATGATTGTTTTAGGTACTGTATATTCTAGACAAGTCAACCAAAAAAAATTGCGACAGATAAATTATGTAGCTAAGCAGCAAAACTCCGTCGCTCAATAAAAAGTAACGACAAATTCTCAAAAATCATATCCAATTCAAGGTCATTAGTTACGATATCCGTAATATCATTAACTGAATATTAAGAAGAATAGAGAATTTATTTTGATCTTCTTGCAACAATATTACTAAATTTAATTATTATCATCATTTTCTAAACAACACGATCATTAAGAAGTTATATAAAATTTGTTAAATTTAATTTGTATTTAAAAATTTAGAAGAAATAGAAGTGGATAAAAAAGATAGTGGTCAACACCACGTCACCTTTTTTATGCTTGGAAGGATTCCTTTTTATGTAGGAAAAGATAAGTAGTCCTAAATATTAGTCTTACTAACAAAAACTTGTATGAAATCATGGAAGCAAAATAATGATAGTCAATTACTAAAACTTCATTTAGCAATTCAATTCGGATGTCTTTATTAAAAGCGTCTAAAATAGTTAAAATATATTGCTCTTAGGCCTTTTTAAAATCTTGAAATTGTATTCAAATAAGGAAATACTTTTAAAATCTTGAGATTGTATTTAAATAAGGAAATGTTACAGTAAAAATTATTAGTCATTTTGAAATCATAAATATAAGGACAATAATAAAATGACTATTTTGTATAGTACGAATTCTATTTTAAAAGGGTAAAAATGACGAACGACATTTCATTAAGGGCCTTCGTGCTTTTAATATAGTATAGATATAGATATTGATATAGATATAGACATAGAAAAAAAGAAGATATAATTATTCTATTTTTAATAGTATATATTAGCATGTTTAGCCCTTTTCCCTACCATATATAATCTTAATCAAATTAACGGCATTCGCAGCACCACACAATCGAGCGTTACATTTTAAGCAAAAAAGAAACTACACAAATAAATACTACTCCTACATTTTTCAACCTGAATGCTATCTCGTCTTTGCCGCACTCTTCACCCTCCACCACCACTCGCCATGGCGGCGCGTGTTCTCCCACGCGCACTCCATTGCGCACACGCCTCCGCCATGGCTTTCTCCGCAAACTCGCATTTTCTTACTCTTCCGCTGCCTACGGTGGCTCATGTTTCCTTCGCAAAATCCTCGTCAGTTTTTGGTCGGAAGTTTCACAATGGCTTGAGTGGCACAGGGGATAGGAAATGGAGTGTTGGCGGATGGTACGGTAAAGTGTTTGCTTCGCAGAGAGACTATCGGAAGTTTCGGAAACGGCCGCTGAAGAAGAGAGACAAAGAGAAAGAGTTGGAACTTAGTGTAAAGATTTGTATTGAAGAGCAATTGCCCGATGATCCTGAAGTTCTGGTAATACCTCAGTTAACATTTCGCAAATTTGGTAATTTTGATTTGCCCATCATTTTTTATTGAGTTTAAGTTCTATACATTGATCATGTGGCTTAAATCAGGTGGCTTAAAGCTAATTGTAGGTGGCTTTATTAAATTACATTGATTGGTAACCTATAATAAATGGTAATTAACCTGCTATAACAGGGTAAATTACACTATTTGGTGTAAAAGAATCCCATGATTTTGCTAATTGAATTACAGGTTTCCCATGATTTCACTTCCAAACTGGGCTTAGTAAGAAAGAGATTGAGAACTAGTACTTAGGAAAAGACAATGCAATGTGAATCCGATAAATGAGTTTCACGGGCCAGGAAAGAGATACGATCATGCACGCTTCCACAACGGATGATAGGGATTGAAGTTGCAAGAATTTCAGCATCAAATATTCTTCATCAAAAGAAAGAATTTCAGCATCAACTATGCCAAAATCAGTAATATAGGCAGGAACATATATGCATTTTAAGTAAAGTAATCCACCCCCTTTGAGCTAATTGAAAATTCCAAGTAAAATTCCATCAAGAAAGTTTATGCACTAATTCTTTGCAGCAACTCTTATTTGTAAATTTGTTTCTTATTTAAAAAATGTAAACCCGTTTCATTCTATTTTATTCATTCCCAGTTTCGCCACTGCAGGATATTGCTGAAATGCTTCGTCTTAATGTTCCAATGGCTATGAAGTTAGCATTTGATAATTTGAAAGACTCAGAGTATCAAACGAGGGATAGAGTAATTAATGATGTTGGTTGCTTTGAAACTGTTGAATTATCAGTACTGCTTTGCAATGATGAGTTCATCCGCGAGCTTAATAAGGATTGGAGAGATGAGGACCACCCTACTGATGTTCTTTCAATGTCTCAACATATACCTGAACTTGAGCTTCCAATTGTAAGAACTAGCTGCATTATTCGCATGTCACACCTCATTTAAAAAGGCTGACCAGGTCCGTGTCTACAGTTAATGTTGGGAGACATTGTGATTTCGGTGGAGACAGCAGCACGGCAAGCAGAGGAAAGGGGACATATTCTACTGGACGAGATACGCATCTTACTGGTAGGTTTCACATACCTCTGAAAAACTCACTGTATGCTGCTGTTAAATCCGAGCTGTCTTACAGTTGATGACCGATTCCTGTCCCTAATTTATGATGCAATATGTGGTCATCTCGGAATATTTTCACTGAAAGAAAGGCTAATCCGCAAGCTTGGTTGTCAATATATTTCCATGACAAGTACCCTTGGCATTTTTTGTACTAGTTAGTCCATCCATTAGTGTCCATTAAATATGGACATGCATCGTTTCTTTCACTTCTTTATTTCGGTTGCTCGTTTCATGCAGTCATATAGTTATATATTTAAAGCCTTTTGGATTGTCATTTTCCTGAAGTAGGAAGGAGCATAGTTGTTTGAACCAGCAGTAGCAGAATTTGATACTCCCTTTGTTTCAAAAAGATAGGCACTATTTCCTTATTGGTCTGTTCCTCCTTTCTAAATTTAGTAATCCTCTCACCTTTGAGTTCAATTACTGCCCTTTGCTATCATTCCCTTTAAAAACCGACAAGACCACCGAATACAACAACAACAACAAATCCAGTATATCCCACGAGTGGGGGTCTGGGGAGGGTAGTGTGTATGCAGACGCTACCCCTACCTTGAGGGTAGAGATGCTGTTTCCGAAAAAGATTTCCGCTGCCGGGGTTTGAACCCGGATTCCGATAATCATGATTGGATCCCCCCCGAATAAAAAAATAAATAATGTGGGATTATTATATTAGGTAGAAAAGTCCGTGTTTTAAAAAGTAGGGCTACAATGTGTCAGATCTCTTTCATTTTCTTACCATTTGGCTTTTACACTTTTTATTCTTTTCTACTCTTTTGTTGCATTCAAGCATTTATTGTCTCCTTTTGTCCTTTGTCTTGAGCCGAGGGTCTTTCGGAAACAGCCTTCCTACTCCTGCAGGGTAGGGGTAAGGTCTGCGTACACACTACCCTCCCAGACTCCATTATTGGGATTTTACTGGGTTATTGTTGTTGTTGTTGTTGTTGCATTCAAGCATTCAACATTGAAGACATAATACAACAAACAAGATTTTGATTTTACTTTTTTCGTTCTTTCTCACTTTTGCTGTAAATTGTTTAGGCAAAACGATATCTTAATTTGTGAATACTTTGACATTAAACATAACCAAAGAAACAAAGAAACAAATCCATGATTTAATCTGTTAGGCCACATGCGTATTCAACATTTTAATTAAAACATACTAAAACTTCATGAGATATGCACCATATTTAGACGAGAAATCCAAACAAAACAAGCCTAAGCTCCAGGAACCTCATGTTCTCCCAGCCTCATTCCAATTTCACCGTTCACACCAATATTTTCTGAATAACCACTATAGTGCGACACTATTCCACTAAATAATCAACTATAAATACTCACATCATTCAAACTCATAGCGATGAACAACACAAATCACTTTTCAAAATTGACAATTGCTTACAAAACAAATAGTAGTCTCAACCATCAGAATAATAAATGACAAAATATAATGTTCTCTCCAACAAGATAATTTTAGCATCTCAAGATAAAGAAAGCAACTCCAATGGAATTTTAAATTTTTTGTTAGAAGTCTTCAAACTTCAGAAATTGAGAAAGCTTCTCCCCAAAGTAGTGAACCAAGAAGTACAAAACAATTTTGGGAGCAAAACACTTCATAAGTCAACATCAGCGAGATTAATTTCTTCGAAAAGCTTGGCCTTCATATTTTTATCAATCTCTACCAACCTTCATTGTAAACGATGTAAATGGGGACAAAAATCAGGTTGCTACGATAAATGTAGTTTATTAAAGATACATAAACTTAATATTCCCATTTCTTTAAATAGAGTACATGAGTCTTAGATTACAAACTTAATGTTTATAGCGTCATTAAATACACCAAGTGTGTACAAAAAGTCAAAAAGAGTTAACATAAAAACTATATTCCAACTACTATTCAAGGTTATAAATAAAAAACAAACCTTACAAAAAAAGCTATAGATAACCTTGACGTATTACTATCTAATACCACCTTAAAGTACAACTAGAGTTTCATTAACAATGTTAATTTCACAACAAACTTGAGTAGGAAGATTTCCCCGTCGTTCTAGCATCTCTTTTTCATATGTGGCACTTTGTATTTGTTCCCACCTTTATCTTTCAGCACCTCGACCATGCAAGATTGTAGATTTAGAAGCATGATTCAACCGTTCAACTTTCATCTCATTAAAAGATGTCTCAACTGCATTTATCAACTCATCAATCTCTGAAGGAGCCATTTGATGGTGAAGGGATTTAATAGCTCTAAAGAATCCAATGTCCAAAACATTTAGATTGGGACTATTAGGAGGTTGAAAACATAGCCTAATATCAGATCCATCTTGTCGAACAACTTCAGTAAATTCCAAGTCATCAATACTAAGATGAGGTCTTGCATTATCTTGTTGAATAAAAATAGGAGCATTTGATTGCGAAAGTGGCCACTTTGATTGAATCGCTGGAAGAACTTTTTTTATTAAGCAAATCCTTGTGACATCTTTAATGACGGATAAACTAGGCCTAGTTTCTAAAGTTCCAGCAACTCTATTTTTGCTATTATTCTTGGCTGGTTCCTTGACTACAAAGGGAAAAATGCCTATTTTTTCAGAAAATAAGTCAACTCCATCTTCATCAAATCTAGGTCGCGCAATGTCACTCATAAACATAACTTTTGTTATGAAGCTCTTACTTTTGCAAGATCTATATGAGTTTGGCTCGTATTCTTCAGGATGTTGGTAGAACTTTGCAGATTTTTCGGTTAAAGAACCATTTTTCGTCTATATGAACATAATTAAACATATCTATAAACATAGGATTTGAATGGAGTGCACCAGACTCAATCATTGATAGGTAGAATTGAACTATTGCTTTCTTATTTTCCTCTGTCAAATAAGGCTTTATGGCATTAATATGTGACCTTATAGCTCCTTCTTTGATACGCCGAAAAACAGTTGATGTTGACATATTTATACCACAAGCCAAAGATCAAATATTTGTTCGACGACAAAGAGGGGTTTCCTTGACCAGATTAACATCGATATGAACTCGTTTCCTCCCAACTCTGTCGGCATAATTAGTAGACACATCTAATGAATTTCCATTAGCAACACTTAATTTTGCCTGTTTCCAAATTCGTACCACTATTCTCTTTGGAGTATTGAGCAAAATTTCCACTTCCTTTAGAGACCCATATTTAAGAGCTCCTCCTTTACTTCTCTTTAAAAGCCATTTTGCAATAGCTTGGGGCTCCTCATTTTTTAGTTGTATCCTCATTTTTTAGTTGTGACAAGAATAGATAAATATAAAAAAGAAACAGAGGAAGCAAAAATGAGTTCATCTCAATATCTATGTATAAATATATAAGGCTTTGACTTAATCTAAAATGAAATTCTGTGGCGCCACAACAAAAATTATACCCGCCCTAATATCAGTAATAACCAAAAGCTGCTGAATTTTAGGAAAAGAAATTTGGCTTCTTCTCCCAAAAATTAAACTTTATGCCTAGTTAAACTAAGACAATCTTTTTGAAACGGAGGGGGTATACCAAGTTCCAATTATACCCTTAAGGGCCCACTAACTAGCTTTTGAATGGAAAACAGATAAAGTACTTGACATGGTCCATCTTCTCTCTCCACATTGATGTCCCTTCCCCAGAAACTTATCCCATCCTGGAGCTTTCCCATTTCAACAAAATATTCACCGTAAGCCTTTTGCCCAAGCCAAAAGGAAAAACTTTCTTCTTTCTCTATGGACGGAGTGAACAAGATTTCTATGGATTTATCAGCAACCCAAGTTGGATGCCTCAAGGCTAGATGCCTCATGTATTTGTATAGCTGGGCTTATCTATCCCCTATAGACTCCCCTGATAGTTTTTTGAATTTTGTTAGCTCCCTAGTACTAGTATAAACATTTGTAAGGAAACAATTACTACACTTTTGTATTTTATGCATCTTCTTGATGTAAGTAATGAAACCAATTACTTCATCAAAAAAAAGCAACCCAAGTTTGAACAAGATTTCTATGAATTTTTTATTCTAGATTTGGTGTATATTTTTAACCAACCATATTGATGGGATGAAAACATATTTCAAAATTTCTTTTCCTGAAATTCAGCAGCTTTTGGTTATTACTGATATTAGGGCGGGTGAAATTTTTTGTTAGTGGTGCCACTATTAGATTAAGTGAAAGGCTTATCTATTTATACATAGATATTGAGATGAACTCTTTTTTGCTTCCTTTGTTTCTTTTTTATATTTATCCATATTCTGGTTACAACTAAAAAAATGAGGAGCGCCAAACTATTGCAAAATGACTTTTAAAGTAAAGTAAAAAAAGGAACTCTTAAATATGGGTCTCTAAAGGAAACATAAATTTTGTTCAATATTCCAAAGAGAACATTGGTACGAATTTGGAAACATGCAAACTTAAGTGTTGGTAATGCTAATTCATTAGATGTCTGCTAATTATGCCGACAAAGTTGGGAGGAAACGAGTTCACATCAAAGTTAATCTGGTCAAGGAAACCTCTCTTTGTCGTCGAACAAATATTCGATCTTTGGCTTGTGCTATAAATATGTCAACATTAACTGTTTTGTTGCGTATCAAAGAAGGTTCTATAAGGTCACATACTAATGCCATAAAGCCTCATTTGACAGAGAAAAATAAGACAACAAGAGTTCGATTATGCCTATCAATGATTGAGTCTGGTACACTCCATTCAAGTCCTATGTTTATATAGGCGAAAATGGTTCTTTCTAACCCAAAAATCTGCAAAGTTCTACCTTCTTCCCGAGGAACATTAGCCAAACCCATATAGATCTTGCAAAAGTAAGAGCTTCGTACCAAAAGTTATGTTTATTAGTGCTGTTGCACGACCTAGGTTTGATGAAGATGTAGTTGAATTAGTTTTTGGAAAAATAGGCATTTTTCCATTTGTAGTCAAGGAACCAGCTAAAAGGAATAGCAAAAATAGAGTTGCTGGAACTTTAGAAACTAAACTTGTTTTATCTGTCACTAGGATTTGCTTAATAGAAAGAGTTCTTCCAGCGATTCAATCAAAGTGGCCACTTTCGCAATCAAATGCTCCGATTTTTATTCAACAAGATAATTCAAGACCTCATCTTAGTGGTTGATGACTTGGAATTTAATGGGGCTGGTCGACAAGATGTATTTGATATTAGGCTATGTTTTCAACCTCCTAATAGTCTCGATCTAAATGTTTTGGACCTTGGATTCTTTAGAGTTATCGAATCCCTTCAACATCAAATGGCTCCTTCAAATATTGATGAGTTAATAAATGCAGTTGAGAGATCTTTTAATGAGATAAAGTTGAACAGTTGAAGCATGTGTTTCTAAATCTACAATCTTGCATGGTCGAGGTGATGAAAGATAACTGTGGGAACAAATACAAAGTGCCACATATGAAAAAGAGATGCTAGAACGACGGGGAAATCTTCCTATTCAAGTTTGTTGTGACATTGTCATTGTTGATGAAGCTCTAGCTGTACTTTATGGTGTATTGTACTTTAAGGTGTATCAGATAGTAATACGTCGAGGTTTTATCTATAACTTTTTTTGTAAGGTTTGTTTCTGATTTATAACTTTTACGTCAAGGTTTGTGTTAGCTCTTTTTGTACACACTTGGTGTATTTAATGAAGCTATAAGCATTAAGTCTATAATCTAAGACTTATGTACTGCATTTTAAGAAACGGGAATATTAAGTTTGTATATCTTTAATAAATTATATGTTTCGTAACAATCTAGTTTTTGTCCCCGTTTATAATGACAATTGGTACATATTGATGAAAATATGAAGTCCAAGCTTTTCAAAGAAATTAATCTTGTTGATGTTGACTGGATCCTGATGCGTTTTGCTCCCAAAATTGTTTCGTGCTTCTTGGTTCACTGCTTTGGGGAGATGCTTGCTCAATTTCTGCAGTTTGAGGACTTTTGACAAGAAATTTAAAATTCCACTGGAGTTGCTTTCTTTATTTGAGATGCTAAAATCATCTTGTTGAAGAGAACATTGTATCTTGTCATTTATTAGTCTGATGGTTGTGATTACAATTCGTTTTGTATGCAATTGCCAATTTTTGAAAATTAATTTGTGTTGTTTTTCGCTATAAGTTTGAGTGATGTGATTATTTATGCTTGATTATCTAGTTACTCTAGTTCAAGAGTGTTGCACTATGGTGGCTATTTAGATAATATTGGTGTGAACCTGAGGTTCCTGGAGCTTAGTCGTTTGTTGTGATTTCCCATCTAAATATGGTGCATATCTCATGAAGTTTTAGATTGTTTTAATTAAGGTATTGAAGACGTACGTGACCTAAAAAATTAAATCATGGATTTGTTTCTTTGGTTATGTTTAATGTCAAACTATTCATAAAGTAAGATATCATTCTGCCTAAAAGAGTGGAAAAGAATAAAAGTGTAAAAGCCAAATCGTAAGAAAATGAAAGAGATCTGACACGTTGTAGCCCTACTTTTAAAACATTGACTTTTCTACCTAATGTAATAATCCCAGTTCCCACATTGTTTACTTTTGTATTCGGTGAGGTCTTATCAGGTTTTTAAAGGGAATGATAGCTAGGGTAGTAACGGAACTCAAAAGTAAGAGGATTACCAAATTTACAAAGATGCCAATCTTTTTAACAGAGAGGGAGTATATTTAAATGATTTGGCAAAAGTCTTCTCCCAAAAATTAAACTCCGTGCCAAGTCAAACTAAGACAATCTTTTTGAAACGGAGGGAGTATTGTGTTACAAATAAGACAATCGTTGTTTGTCTCCCCTGCAGGTTCATGGTTTGCTACATCTTTTGGGGTTCGATCATGAGCTTAGTGATGAAGCTGAAGCTGAAATGGAGAAAGAAGAGGAGATCCTTCTAAAAAGTCTTGGGTGGAAGGGAAAAGGATTAATTCAGAGTGCATATGATGCTAAGGATGCTGATAGTCCTCCTTTGGAGAACATTGGTAATGTGCCTAATAATAACAAAAAGATTGTGTCTTTCTTTGTTAAATTACTCTCTTCTAGTTATGTTGTTACTCTCTTTTGTAAGTTTACATTCCTGATTAATGGGATTGAAGAGATAATCTTACATGCCAACTGTGTAAAGACAGGAAGAAAGAAGGGACTCTTCGATTTTACAGACCAAAGTTTAGCTACATCTTCTGTGATATGGATGGTAAGAAAACAGTTGTGATTCTTAGAATTGGTTCCTTTAATCTGTTTCACCTGTTTATTATCTTCTTGGTTTCCTCCCATTGTTGATGTAAGGTACCCTCCTCAACAGCAAAAGTCAGATTAGTTCAGCAACTGTTGAAGCTCTTAGAGAGGCCACTTCTAGGGGTGTAAAAGTGGTGATAGCTACTGGAAAAGTGAGGACAAGTTTTTTTCTTTTCCCATATCCTACAGTAGTTTTCTGATTTCATTCTGATCTAATAGTATCTCCCTATGCAATATACCATTTTTTTCCTCTGCCTCCGAGTAACTATCATAAGCTTTATATTTTGTCTTGGCAGACCCGTCCTGCTGTCATTACTCTGTTCAAGAGTGTAGGTTTAGCTGGAAAAGACGGCATTGCTTCAGAGGTTTCTCCAGGAGTATTCGTGCAGGTTAACTTACTGTCTTACTCCATCCCTATCCTTAGTCAATAGCATCTTCAATTTTCGAACCATTTAATATTTCCAATTGGATATGGGTAATAGTCATTCACTTCAAAATTACGCAGAGATTCATTTAAGATAATCATAACGTCTTTTACTTCCTAAATAAAGGGGATTTTTATTGGTTGCAGTAATCCTTCCTTCTCGTAACTTTGTCCCATTTGCTTTTTCACTTAGTTTAAGTGAAATAGAGGGTTTTACATGTTTTCCAACTTGCCTTTCCACAAATAATAATTAAGGGAACTTAAGTTTTCCCTTGTATGTTGAAGGTTAGTTCGGGAACAAATATGGCCCTTTTGGTACTACAGAAACGAAAAAAGTGAAACGATTAGGGATAGAGGGAGTAGCCTATTTGTGAACCATATCTGATGTTATTTAGGATAAACCTTTGCTTGGGAAACAACTGCTTGACAAATTCTTCTCTATAGCATGATTTGTTCATTCTATTTCAGCAGCTATGGTATCAAATTATATGTTTGTGTTGTGAGTGAAATTGGGGAGAGTTGAATTAGAATTAATGATTTGGTAATTTCCTGTCTATAAGAAGTTGATTTATATAGTCTTTTCGTCTGAAATTTCTAAAACAGTTTTAAGTGGTTATTTTTAGTCTGTCACAGAGAGAGAGAGAGAGAGAGAGAGAGAGAGAGCATGAACACACAAAAAAGAAAAGAGTGGAAAATACAAGGAGGTTGAAAGGATTATCAAATAGAAGAAATTGCCTAAGATGGAGAACTAGAAGGATGATTATGCAGGGAAATTTGGCAAACATATTCTCATTAGCAACATTTTTTGGAGTCTGGACATCTCTATATGTTGAATGCCCTTACGAGATTCTTATTTCCTGTTTCCTTTTAGACAAAAATGAAATAAACAGGTACTTTTTGTCACAATTTATGTGGCACTGTTTGAGTGGCACGGAGTTTAAGGCAAACTTTCGAAATTTATGGTCTAAAACAAGCCATATACATTTGTGTGGCGATAAATCATCTCATTAAGGGTAAAATTATAAGTTTGATAAAATTGTTTAAAAATATAGAAAGGAGTTTAAGGCAAACTTTCGAAATTTATGGTCTAAAACAAGCCATATACATTTGTGTGGCGATAAATCATCTCATTAAGGGTAAAATTATAAGTTTGATAAAATTGTTTAAAAATATAGAAAGGTGCCATTCTTTTTGGGACAAACTAAAAAGGAAGTGTGGCACATGAAATGGGTTAAGGGGAGTATGAAGTAAACAAATACTCCTACTTTAATTAGGTAAATGTATTAACTGGACCTGAACTTTATTGTATAGTTTAGAGTGGAGATGAAGTTTAATGAGAATGTTAGCATTTTTAAGTATAAAGGTTGGTCCCATTTAACTTTTTGGTTATAAGATATCGAATTAGTATCAAAAGCTGGGAGAAAAAGTACCCTCTTCAGGAAAAAGAACACATTTCCTTTTATAAGTAAAAAGAACATATTTTCTAGCATCCCAAAATATAAAGTTGGTCATTGATTTTCATTTTCTCCCAAAATCACCCCAAGCAACATACAAACCCACATTCGATTCATCTCCAAAATCCACCATGAAAACCACTGTGGCGGCACACCCTTGGAAAAATATGTTACTAATTAGATTTTGTTAGTGGGTATAACACATATGACCCAAAATGATAAAAACCGGGGCATATTCAAGACCAACTATTAACAAGTGGCATATATGAGCCATTTTCTCAAGTTCAGTGGCATATTTGAGGCAGTAGTTTTGCTAAAAGGAGTAGTAGTTTCTTTTGTGGTATAGAATTTATAGCTTTCACTTTTTCTAATTTTTCCCATGGCTATAAGTTTCTTATGTTTTTAAAAATCATACAATTGTCAGGGGTTGCTCGTTTATGGCAGACAAGGCCGGGAAATTTCTCGAAGAAACTTGGATCAGAATGTGTGTAAAGAGGTATGTGCCTTTGCTTGTGGCTGTCTTAGTTCCCTTTCATTTGTTTACAGTCTTATTCATCTCGTTCTTTCAAATCAAGATTTTTATACAATACTATTTCATAGCAAGCAACATGTTATACAACATCTCTCTTTATCCAATACTCACATATCATTAATCAATCTCTTTGAATAAAAATAAATATAATTGCACTACAAAATGTTGTGATTTACTCGGAGTAAATTCAAGTGGAAGGATGAAAATCATATGTTTCACGTGTCAATTTATTGGTTCTCTTATTTCTAAAAAAAAAGACGTAACTTCAACTTGTACAACAAATAAAAAATGATTCTTAGATGCGCTCAAGTGTTTGTCTAGTGGTCAAAGAAGTGGATGCGAACATGGAAATCCAAGGTTCAATGCACGAGGATAAAAACACTATGTGATGTCTTCCCATTTGCCAAAGCCTTGATGGACAAAATTACTTGGTATTTGCACTGGTGGGAGGTGCACGTGAGCTGGGTCTGAACACTACCATTATAAAGAAATGACTCTTAGATTACCTTTCCTAAGTAATATGGAAATCTACTTATTATGACTGTAAGGCTACCAATACATTGTATGTTCAATGCAGTTAGAATATATGCCACAATTAAATTTCACCCTTCCACAGTTAAATGCACACATCATGCATTTGGAGGTCTATGTAGAGCGCGAGCAATCCAACTTAGGCGACCTTTTGTCATTTATCCACCATTCAGGCTACTTGCATCTTTTGTAGGATGTGGTCATTTCTATCATGTGTAGTATTTTATATGACAGCTCCATCTTAATATCTGCATTTATATGGCATCTTTTGTGGATATAAAACCCAGCATCATTCTCATATAATGGCACTGGTTTCATAACCATTGTGTAATTCTTATACGTTGACGGACTTCGTTAGTTCAAGGAGTTCAAGTCCTTTATAATTTGTAAAGTTAAGCACTTTCCAGCTGCTGATTTCTGTGAACTAGATTCACTTTGATCATCAAAAACAAAATAAAGATGGTTTATTTTTAAGGTTTGAACATTATCTAGGAGAATTTTTTTAATGAATTTCGTTTTTTCATTGTTTCTCTATGTTATAGATGGAAAGTAACTTCTACATTCTTCTAAAATTTATATTAGTTAAAGTACAAATTTGTGATTGCACAATTTTTTTCTGAAAGGTGCAATTTTTTTGTTTTAAATGTGAGGTTATAGTGATTTGTCTGCGAGTATAAGAACATCCGGGTACTTTCTATTTGTCTTAATTACTTTCTATTTTACTCTTATTTTATATATATATACTTAACCTGTATTTCGCTTCCACTTTTATTTTATTTTGATATGATGATAATATGAGTTGAGCTTAAAGAATGAAGTGAGGATTCATACAGCCGACCCCAACTTGTTTGGGACTGAGACGTAGTTGTTGCTGTTGTTGTTGCATGATTATCATATACTTGGGTGATGCTGGATTTGTTGATTATCTATAAGTTTATGATAGTACATACAAACTGTTAGTGAGAAATGCTCTTTATTGGGATTACGGCATACTAATTGAAAAACAGGTACTCCATCCACAAGGGTATATGTAAACTATGCTCCATAAGGTCTCATGCTGACATCAACACATGCTATTACATTTACTGGTCAATATGAGACCAGATTCTGATCATTCTTCAATTTACAGGCATTTCTGTACTCTCTTGAGCATAAGGTTCCTCTCATTGCATTTAGTGAGGATCGTTGCTTAACATTGTTTCATCACCCTCTTGTGGATTCACTTCATACTATATATAACGAGCCAAAGGTACCATACTTATCAATAGTCTTTATCTCACTAGACATTATACAGGCCTTGACATGCCTTGCTGAATGCTTCATATCTAATCATTTGACAGGCGGAGATTATTCCTTCAGTTGAACAACTGTTGGCAGGGACGGACATACAGGTATGTTATTAAAATTAGCTGCTAATTATATGACTAGTACTTTCCAAGTATCGGAGGGTATGGGAAATTAACTGCAGGGTCACACTGTTGCCCTGAACATATACTATTCATCCCTGAGAGGGAATTGCAGTTTGCACTTGTACTACACGCAAGCTGAAAGGAAAAAGACATCATTATTCCCTGGAAGAGTCTTTATTCAAACTATTAGCTGACTTAGGATGCTACACATACTTAGGTAGTTGGTTAAATTCGACTATAGGCCTTTTCTAATTTTGGTGGCTTACAGTTTGTGATGAAAATTGCAATATTATGGAGGTGAAGCCTCCCCTCCCCAACTAAAGTTTGTGTAGACATCAAATTCCTCTTCATATGTTCGAAATAGCCCGTTCCCGGTTTTTGTTTATTAATGCAAGTCGAGCACTGATTAGTTTTTCTTTTGCAATCATTTTTCTTATCAGGTTTGAGTTTCATAATTTACATATTATTGTAATCACAGAAAAAGTACGGGAAGAGGTAATGAGCTAGAACACGAGTTCCATAAAGCAAAACAAGCGGAGAGAAAAGGAAAGATAAGAAATAAAAGACAATCTAAAGAGATAGATTTCCCTACTATATTGAGTGCCGGCTTGTCGGTGAAGATGCAGATGCCAGTTTGCTAATGTGTCGGTTATTTTAGGTTGTACATGGTGTTTGCACATGGTGTTTATTGACCTAGAAAAAACATATGACAAGGTCCCTAGGGAAGTTCTTTGGAGATGCCCGGAGGTGTGAGGTGTTCAGGTAGCTTATATTAGGGTGATTAAGGACATGTATGATGGAGCTAAGACTCGTGTTAGGATTGTGGGGGGCGACTCGGAGCATTTTTCCATTGTTATGGGGTTACACCAGGGATCTGCGCTCAGCCCGTTCTTATTTGCTCTGGTGATGGACGCACTGACACACCATATTCAAGGGGAGGTACCATGATGTATGTTATTCGCCGATGATATAGTTCTGATCGATGAGATGCAAGGCGGTGTTAACGAGAGGTTGGAGGTTTGGAGACAGATCGTCGAGTCTAAAGGTTTCAAGTTGAGCAGGACTAAGACATAATACGTGGAGTGCAAGTTCAGCTGCGTATCAAGAGAAGCGGACATGGACGTGAGGCTTGCCTCTCAAGTCATCCCTGAGAAAGGGAGCTTCAGGTACCTGGGGTCGGTTATCCAAGGGAACGGGGAAATTGATGAGGATGTCACGCACCGTATAGGGGTGGAGTGGATGAAATGGAGGCTAGCGTCTGGCGTCTTGTGTGATAGGAAGGTGCCTCCGAAACTTAAAGGTAAATTCTACAGAGTGGTGGTTAGACAGGCCATGTTGTATGGTGCAGAGTGTTGGCCAATCAAGAATTCTCATATCCAGAAGATGAAAGTTACAAAAATAAAGATGTTGAGATGGATGTGCGGGCACACTAGGCTGGATAGGATTAGGAATGAAGGTACCAGGTGAAGGTAGGCGTGGCTTCCATTGAAGACAAGATGCGGAAAACTAGGCTTAGATGGTTCGGGCACGTACGGAGGAGAAGCCTAGATGCCACGGTAAGGAGGTGTGAGCGGCTGGCCTTGACGGGTATGAGAAAAGGTAGAGGGGGCCTAAGAAGTATTGGGGAGAGGTGATCAGGCAGGACATGGTGCAACTTCAGATTTTTTAGGACATGGCACTTGATAGGAAGCTGTGGAGGTCGAGCATTAAGGTTGTAGGTTAGGAGGTATGAGGCTAGTCTGATAGTGTTTTGTCTTAGGCTGCTAGTAGCTCCTGTGGTGTCTATACTACTTTATTAGGGTTGCAGGTTAGGTTGTAGGAGGCTAGTTTGATAGTGGTTTGTATTAGGATGCTAGTGGCTTTTGTTGTGTCCTTATTACTTTCGCTGTGTTTGTAGTACTGTGCTATTGTACTGCTTATTGTTATTGCTTTTCTTTCTATTTTCTGGTTATTACGTTGCTGGTGTTATCTTTTTGGCTTCCTCTGGTGTTACTGCTCCACTCTCTCTTTCCATCGTCGTGAGCGGAGGGTCTATCGGAAACAGCTCTCTACTCCTCCGGAGTAGGGGTAAGGTCTGCGTACACACTACCCTCCCCAGACCCCATTTGTGGGATTTTACTGGGTTGTTGTTGTTGTATTTTGGGTTGTAATATTTTGGCCTTCTCATGCTTATGGGTATTTTGTGTTTTCATGGGCAAGGTGAAAGGGGCCAGTAGCATCATTACACGGTCTTGTTAGTTTTCTCAGGATTTTTTTTCTTTTTTTTTCTTTTTTCTTTTTAGGGTGTTGATAGAAGGGTGGGGCCTCCTTTTTTTTATTGGTATTGGAGGGGGGGCTTTTGGAAAATACACGGTCAACACTCCATTTGTAGAAAGGGAAAAGAACTCCCCCTTTCTTTGGCATGGCACGCAAAAGTAAACCAAGGTCCAAGCTAAATGGCAAACAGTTACGGCCTTTTTTGTTTTCTTTCTGCTGTGTTCTACATCTTTTTATGCTGATTAAAATAAAAGTGTTTTAAATCTTTTTTCATGTTTCTGTTTATTCTTAAATTTCACTTTTGCCTTCCTCCCTGTTTCTTTGGTTGTTTAAATGATCTTTTGAATTCTGTAAGAAGGCTATTCCCCCCCCCCCCCCCNNCTAAAAAAAAAAAAAGGAAAAACCCTTGTCAATTTGTGCACCTGTTCTATTGAACTAAGAGCAAGTTGGATTTTTTTCATTCAGCATCCAAGTTCTAGGTTTGGTTGTAAATAATACTTCATTTCCAATTTGCAGAAAGTGATCTTCTTAGATACTGTGGAGGGAGTGAATACTACATTAAGACCCTACTGGGCAGAGGCTATTGGAGATAATGCCTCTGTTGTCCAAGCTTGTCCGGACATGCTTGAAATTGTTCCTCCTGGAACTTCCAAGGGCAGTGGAGTAAAAATACTTCTTGATCATTTGGGTGTTAGTCCTAAGGAGGTGAGTGCTGTTTTAATTTTGTTCCATAATCTCTTCTATTACCTAGAAACATTGGAAGTTATTCAGAATTACATTGACAGAGTATTGATAGTTATCTTTCCAAAGTTTAACTTCTTAGCATTTAATCCTGGTATATTTTTAAGTTTACCAAAAATTTCCCTAGGTACCTTTATTCAGCATAAATGTTGCGCCACCTACATTTTTATGTTGCTTCTATCGTTTTCTTTCCTGAAACATGCTTCATTCTCTCCGCATAACTGGTAAAGTTGCTGCCATGTGACCAGGAGGTCACGGGTTCAAGCCGTGGAAACAGCCTCTTGCATAAATGCAGGGTAAGGCTGCGTACAATAGACCCTTGTGGTCCAGCCCTTCCCCGGACCCTGCGCATAGCGGGAGCGTAGTGCACCGGGCTTCCCTTTTTTCTCTGCATAATGCACATCTGCAGATGTTACGGTAAATGGATTTTTAGCCCGTGAAATATGTAATAGTAGAATACCAGAAAAGTCTAACTCTTGTATGTTTGAAGAAATGCGTACGTGCTAATAACATTTAGCTGGTTAATTCACGGGGCTTTACTGTATACATGTACACACGTATTTTTCAGTCAGAGATAAAGCGAACATCAAAGTGGTTAAATATGAGGATGGCACTCCCAAATTATAGACTTAATTGAGCGATGTCACCTCAGACACCTTTGAAATTTCTGAACATTTGGTGTTCCTCTGGTATAGACTTGTTCTTTCACTCGATATGGTGCAAATCTTATGATGCTGCAGGGTGTCAGTGCAATAGTTTCAATATGAAAAATTGCGTATATGGAGTGAGCAGGAGATATCTATATTGTACAACCTCTCAAAACTCATGGGGCATTTTTTATTGGAAGATCTGTTTATGTTTTCCCCCTAGCCTCTTAAAACAACAATGATTTGGTTGACACTATGGAGCTTTCCTTCTGTTGCTTCTGTCGGGTAAACAATTCCTTGCTCTACAGCCTTGATGGGGCCATGATTTGGGAGACTGATTTATTTTTCCATTGCATATTGTCCCTGACTAGTCTAAGCCGGAGGCAGAAATATGATGGAGCTAGTATCAAACTTAGCGCTACCGAACCATTTTTAGATCTCCGTGGGCGTGCGCTATCTAAAATTTTGTACTCTAGTTATAGAGTTTTCTCCAACTCCGCTTCCACTTCTATTTTCAGATAATGGCCATTGGTGATGGCGAGAATGATGTGGAGATGCTTGAGTTAGCTTCTCTTGGTGTTGCTCTCAGCAATGGTTCAGAGAAGGCAAAAGCCGCTGCTGATGTGATTGGTGCCAGCAATGATGATAATGGAGCAGCTGATGCCATCTATCGTTATGCTTTTTGAGGCTGTCTTCAGGAATGGAAGAATCGGAAAACGGGGAATGGAGAAGTTCAACAAGTTTTAAAGGTTTAGTTTTCTAATTTATTCAATTTTGAGGAAACCTTTCATTAAGCCAGCAATAAGGCAGAAGTGTGGAGCAAATTACTCCCTTATTTCATTCCATAGGTCCCATATAGTGAGTTTAGATCAAGAATTTGCTTATTGTCATTTACCTTTCCTCAGAAGGAATGAGGAAAGAACCACATTTTGTAACTGCAGAGAATATCAATTTTTAATGAATATAGGGAATGTCAATGGCATCTTTATACTCATTGCATGTGAACCTGAGCTCATACATATTACAACAATGATTTAATTCTTAGAACTCTACATGCAACATAAATAATTAGTGCTCCAAGTCCCCACATATCTGCAGATATTTGATTTGATAAACTGGTTCATTTTATCATTTTGCTGTCTAGATTCTGAACAAGTAAAATGCATTCACAGATTACTGCTTGGTGTATAATTGTTGGCATCACGCCAGTTTGGAGGCGAATGGAGCGTAGGTCAAATGAATTCGATTGAACTCATAAATTTCGACACAACACGGCGGATACACTATGTGAAAAATTACTAAAACTTTAATAAATAGTAGATTCTAACCCATAATTTCAAAAGTGTAAAGAACCTTAAGGGTTAAGTTCATCGAGTTTAAATTTTAGATCCACCTCCTATTGCTTTTAAAGAGACTTAACTATATCAAGGACTACGAGGGTGCTTGGATTGGCTTATAAAATGTAGCTTTTAAGCTAAAAGCCAAAAGTCATAAACCCAACTTTTGGCTTTTGGCTTATTTTTGTACTTTTAATGCCTAAAAGTAAGTGCTTTTTAAGCACTTTTTATCATTGCCAAACAACACACAAACTAAAAAAGTGCTTAAAAGCCATTAAGCACTTAAAATAAGCCAATCCAAACACCCTCTACATTTGGGCAGTTTGGAGATGGCTTATATCGCATGAATTGTATTGCTGTGAAAAAAGAAATAACAACTTGTAGTAGGACAGAAAATTTGAGAATGCATGGCAATATTATGGAAACTATATCTTAAAATATTACATAAAATGTCATAAAGGATCTAAAGCGAACAAAAAAGGGGAAATGATCTTTTCTTCAACTGAGATTAATAAATGAGTAGGGAAACCGATGTATATATAAATGAAAAAAGGACAGCATAGCCATCTCCCTAAACTACAAAAATTTACAAAATTTAAGGGGAAACACAAGCAAAATATTATCTTCTTATTATTGTAGGATTTATTTTTTCTATTTTCCAAAATTAATTTCTTGATTGTATAGAGTCATGGTTAGTCCTCTCTTCCATGACCACGGTGCTTCTTCACCATAGATTGTTCAGCACTGAAGGCAAAAGAAGCTGCAGTCACTGTGAAAAAAAAAAACTGAAAATTATTGAGAAGAATGAAATGATTTTAATTGAAGATAAAAATAATGTTACATCATAATTTTAGATTACTTACATGCTGATATAATGAATGTTTTACCAGCATAGTTTATATTTCTCTTAGTCCATGGACAGTAGCGAGAAGCAGCAAACTGAAAGAAAAATGTATATTTTTAGCCGCTCCTAAAAATAATAGCCGATAAAATATATATTTTGTGTGTGTATATATATATATTGGCTAGCAAATGTAACTAGTTTGGACGACTGACCAATTTTGTATTGCCCGAACTGAAACATTTTATCCCCAGAAAAAGAGACATTTAGGAAGAAAAAACACACAAATACACAAAGTATTTCATCGGAATTATTTATAAAAAAAAAAAGAATAAAGATAATTTCTTAATACAAAGGAATAAAGGAGTAGTAATATTTTTCGAAAAGGGAGAAAATAGATTACCACAACTAGAGAAGTAATAGCACATGTCATGGTAGCTCCTTTAAATCCATCTTGAATGATGTCTGCATAATGAATGAAGATTAAAGAAAACAAATGAAAGAATTAGACAAACAATAAGTAGAAATAATACGATATATTTCTTTAAAAAAAAAAAAGAGGAAATGAAGGATCTTTATCATTTTAAGAGCAGAAAAAATTGAATAAAGAGGAAAGAAAATTACGTTGAACGTCTTGATTTTTTTGTTCTTCGGTAATGGGTGGCATTTTGCTTATTTCTGTCTGTAATAACAATTAGTTTGACGCCTTTGAATTTCAAGAAATCGATTAGAATTTAAAAATGTTTGCTTAACAAATTCTCCAAAACTTAAGGGAAACTATTAAATTGAATGGCCAAAATTTTGGTGTTGTTTGCTCTTTATAAGGAGGGATATGGAGTTTTCACCTTTTGTCATTATTCTTTCTTTCTTTTGTTTTGTTTGGGTGGTGGGTGCAAAAGGCCCATGCAATAGACCTTGCATCATAAATAGAACGATCTAGCCAGTTTTCGAACTGATCATTCAAAAATAGCCAGCGTTTATCAAGCCAATGAAAAATAGCCACTATTTTGCTACAACAGAGACCGGTCCAGCATAATATACTAGAGTTCGGTGCACCTGTGTATGAACTTCCAGCATATTATGCTGGACCTCCAACACACGGAAAGCTCCAGCATAATATACTGGAGATTCGAGCACTTGTGTAAGAACTTCCAGCATATTATACTGGACCGGTATACTTTGCTGGAACTCCAGTATATTATGCTGGAGTTCTAGTGTACTTATGCTGGAACTCCATCATATTATGCTGGAGTTCCAGCATACTTATCCTGGAACTCCAGCATAATATACTGGCGTATTTTTCGGGTTTTGAACAGTGTTTTCGCTCAAATTTATCTTTACATGAAAAGTGGCTAAATTTCGATTACTTTTGAAACTGGGCTATTTTTGAACGACCACTTGTAAATCTGGCTATTTTTGAATTTCTCCCTATATTAAACAAGACTTGCTATTGTATGTCACAGCTGACAAATTCTATTGATTTGAGAGTGAAGACAAAACTTAGGAGATGGAAAAAATTGATTAAAATAGCACGGGCTAGCCAGTTTTCGGACAGGTTAATCAAAATAGCGTTTGCCAAGTCATTGAAAAATAGCCACTATTTTGCTGCAACAGAGACCGGTCCAGCATAATATAGTGGAGTTCGGTGCACCTGCGTATGAACTTCCATCATATTATGCTGGACCGATATACTTTGCTGGCTCCAGTATATTATGCTAGAGTATTTTCCAGATTTTGAACAGTATTTTCGTTTAGATTTATCTTTACATGAAAAGCTAAATCTCGATGACTTTTGAAACTGTGACTATTTTTGAATGACCACTTGTACATCTGGCTATTTTTAAATTTCTCCCAAAAAATTAGGAAAAATAAAGTAATTTTCGCTCATTTGATGCCCATCAACTTTTATGCCCATTTAGGTAGGATCGTAGAGACGAAAATGAGAAAATAGCTTAATAGCCAAAATTATTCCTTACCTTTTTGGAGGAAGTGATTTCATATGACCAATTATAATTTGAACAGAAGAAAATGATTACAAATATCTTATGCGTTAGATTTTACAAATCTCATATGAAAAAAATCATACAATTAAAATAACGTTTGTGATGACCCATAAATATCTTCCATTTTTTCTCATAGATCACTAAAATCTGTTTGATCAAACTTTAAATTATGAGAGTGTTTTCTTTAAAATAACTTTTCAAAGAAGTAGTTTTGGAAAGAGATTTTTACATTCCTATATCATATAGGAAACCTTATTACCCTCAATGTTTAAGGTTTGATATAATTACATTTAGTATCCCAAATTACCAATTCTATACCATAGTATATTTTAAGGGTACAATTAATGCAACATATATCCCTCCTTAATTCAAGGTACCGTATAACCCACCCCTCCCACGTTTCTCTCTCCCAAACCCTCACCCTCACCCACGTTTTAGTGAGGGATTTCTTTTCTTCATGCCCTCTTTTTTCCTTCATATGTTTTTGGTTCAGATACCAGGAGAATCTTTGACACCAGTACTTCTACATATTTAACTTGTAAAATGGTCTGTTAATACTAAAATTAGAACTGTTCACTAGGCGTTCGGTTCTTTGAAATCTACGTAGCTTATCAGTTTAGAAATTGATTCCTGGGCTTCCAGAATGAGCATTGCTTTACGTTTCAGTTGTGTAAAATAGGTATGGTTGTAATTCAAGAAGTATAGTTGTATTGTATGAAGGGTAATATGCAAACTATGAATACTTCTTTGAAATTCAAGAAGTATGGTTGTATTGTATTTAAAGAGGCGTGAATTTGTAGAATAGGTTGAATGTGAGGAATGAGTCAAATAAGACTCACAATGGCTTGTTTTCTACATTTAATCTACAACAAAACTACATATCATTTGAAAAATTAATATGAAAATACAGAATTTCAATGTTTCTGCAAATTATCTACAAAATTTCTTAGGAAGATCTATCCCTTCATCATATTTTTTTGGATTCCATATTTAGCATAGCAGTTTTGTAATGAGTAATAAGAGCATATAGGAGAATCACAAAATTATAGCATAATCGGGATTTTCGACATAATTGTGTTTTTTGCAGAAGATTTGTAGAAGTTTTAGTCGTTTTTTATTTGTGAAAACAGAAAACAAAGCATCTACAATCAGAATACAAATAATCTACAATTTATCTACAAAATATCTACAAACTGGGTACATTGAATTTTAATATCCCAATTCCCATTCAATTATAGCATAACCCCTGTTAAAAAATAATCGCAAAAATCCAAACATTTATCTATCCAGCCATAGGGTAGATCGGCAGCCACCCCCCCGATACGAAAATAATTATGCATCATTCGCATACCGGTGGCAGCTTCGAAGAGGTCATATATCAATTCTCTTTCTCGAAAAATATAGAAGAAAGGGGTCTGCGCACCAATATCCGCCATAAAAGGGCCTAGCCATAACAAATGAGAAGCTATCCGACTCATAATTGGGATTTTCGACATATTTGCCGTTTTTGCAGAAGATTTGTAGAAGTTTTAGTCGTTTTTGATTTGTGAAAACAGAAAACAAAGCATCTACAATGAGAATACAAATAATCTACAATTTATCTACAAACTCGGTACATTGAATTTTTATATCCCAATTCCCATTCAATTGTAGCATAATTGGGATTTTTGACATAATTACATTTTTTCAGAAGATTTTTAGAAGTTTTAGCCGTTTTTTATTTGTGAAAACAGAAAATAAAGCATCTACAATCAGAATACAAATAATCTACAATTTATCTACAAAATATCTACAAACTGGGTACATATTTGGACTCGACATGCTTCCCCTGAAATGTATGTTTCACAATTTTTATACATATTTTTGTCCAAAACAGTACTAAATCATCCACTTTAATACAATTTTTATACAATGTTGTTCAACTTTCATACAATAGGTAAATGAATAAAAGATAAATAAATAAACAACAGTCTATAATTTATCTACAATTTTTCTACAATTTCTGCAATATGTCTTCTTCTCTCCTTCTTCTTCGAGTTTCAATCTGGAATTCAGTCAAAACCAAGTCCAATCTTCACCAAAACCCCTCAAAATTGAGATATAAACTCCAAACCATATTCCCGATATTTTCAACAACACCCAATCCAAACAAATAATGATTTTTGAAAACCCAAATTTGAATTCAAAGCTTTCAAGCTTTTTAATGGCTGTCAATGGTGGAATTGCTGCTCTCTTTTCATTTGCTTTGTATTACTGAAATTTGCGATTGAGAAATAGAGAGAGATGTAGAGAGAATTCTGGAAACAGAGTGTATCGCAAAAATAGAGTATAAAAAATCTTGTTCTGCGTTGTGGAAGATCAGAGTGAAGCCGACGATAATTATGGAATGTGCGTGATTTACGTTGGGAAAGATCTGGAAAATATTTAATTCCCCTTTTATAGCGCGCAAAATAAGGAATCATAAAGCTACAACGATTCCTTATTTAATGCATTGTATATATTAGGTAGAAATACTATTAGCATGAAGGGTAATATGCAAACTATGAACATAGTTGTTAATATAGGTTCATATATGGTATAGGAAAAATTAGCAGTTTGTGTTGGATCAATTGGGTTGAAAAGTAATTTTTAAGTATTTGATAAACTATTGTATTCGAACATTCTTTCCAAAAGTATTTTTGCATGTCAAATAATAATAATATCAAAATTTATTGTACAATTAGTAATATTTAAGCATAGAAATGATCTAAATATTTACGGGGGGATTTTAATTAATTTTTATTTACTTAATATATAAATATAAAATAAAATAATATATTAGAGTTTTTAATCAATACATATATAGAGAGAGAATAAGACAAAAAAGGAAAAAGAGGAAAATATTTGCAAAATTGAAAAATTAAATTAATGATGGATAGCTTTATAAATACAAATTCTAGAAATACAGAAAAGCTGAAGAGGTCTGGTAATTGTTCTACTTTAGCTTTTGTGTTACACTGTGAAGCAATCAAGACTTGCCCTGGCCATATATTTTTGGAAGAAGAAGCAAAAGAGTGATGATTCTTTTTCAAAGAAGCTTTTAGACTTTGATAAAAAGTGAAATTTTGCTAAATTTAACTGAAGAAAATTTGATTGGGAGTGTCAATTCAAATGTGAGTCAATGGCTTTATCAAGATGAAAAGCAAACATGACTTATCATATATATAAAACATGGACCAAGGACCAACCACTTCTTACTCCAAATCCTTGATATACAGAGGCAGAAAAAAGAGGAAAACAAGTAAAAAGAGGAAAACATTACTCAAACATGATGCAAATCCAAATGCTAACATCAACAAATTCATAAATCTTCCTTTAAGACAGAGTAGATAGTAATGGAGCACCAGCGTGTGTACTCACTCACAACAAGCATACTAGTATCTTAAGCGGATTTATCGTAGTGAGTGTTTCTCCTCGCGCATGCCAAGATTGTCTTGTCAGCAGTAATGAAGTATGCAGCAATGGAAGCTGTTCACAGTAAGGAAACAAAGAAATCACTATAAACTAGGGACTTCAAGAGACTAGTTAGGAGCTGCAGAAAGAGTTGAGGGGAACAGAGAACAGTACATGATAATAATGTCTGGTGACAGAAAACAAAAGGAGTTTGCAACAAAAACGAAATACTTAATACTCATTCGTGATAACATTACAAGATGATTATGGTAAGATGAAGCTTTTGCATGGGAGATATGCAAACTAGATAAAAGGAACCCGACAATGAAGTTCCCCATAGGTAGATCATTGACGTTCAGGAACTTAAAGAGACTATCACACTTTACCAATAATTAAAACAAGGTAACTGAAGACGAAGTGATGAAGTACCTCCTCGCATTACATGCATTTGAATACTAATAACTGACAAAAATACTGCATTTCATCACTTTAAAAAGTGCAAATTACCCTAAATGAAAGGTTTTTATAGTGCATCACGAGTTATTTGTAAAAAGATTAAGTTCACAAATGCGCCTTTCTTCGGAACAACGCATCCAAAAAATGTAATAATTTGGAAAGGACTTCACTTCCTCTGCCTTCAGAAAGAAAAGGTGCTTTAATGCTCAAATCCATTCTTGATGTTGACTAGATTTTTTTGGTACTTTCTTGATGTTGACTGGGTAAACACTCTAATAACTTTTCTATCAAAATCTTATAACTATTTTCACAAGGTTTTATTCTAATTTGTCCACAAAGTTTTTCCGTAAAAGAGTAAATAGTCTTGTGTTTACATATAAGGATATTGAATTCTTCCATATTTTACTGGGATGATAGAAATTAGAGCTCTTCTGACAAATGAGAAAATAATTACTCCTAAACCTTGAAAATAATTTTAAGGAGTCGTTTGGTTCAATTCTGGGATATCCCGTAGGACTATCTGCAATATCCCGGGAGATTATCTATCCCACCTCCTATATGGATAGCTAATACCACCATTTTGGTATAAAATTTATACAGGTTTTAGCTAATCCACAACCAAACATGGGATAACTATAATCGCAAATTCTATAGTGGGATTATTATTCTTATCCCGGTACCAAACGACCCCTAAATTTGCAAAACTTGATTTAATGGACTGTGTGAAGTTGAAACAAAATTAAAAGGTTTCAGTAAATACAAGAATTAGTTGATGTGCTTAATTGGACTTTCTAAAAAGTTTCAGGATTCTGATAAAGTCACCCGGTACTTGTGCTGGTGGAAGGTAGCAGGTACCCCGTGGAATTAGTCGCGGTGCGCATAAGGTGGCCCTGACACCACAGTTTTAAAAAAAAGTTTAAGGGATCCAAATCTTTTGCCTAAAAAAGAAGAGAAAAAAACACAGTTTAAATAAGAACTGTAACATCGTAACATGCCCATAAAAAGGATTTTTTTTTTCTCTTTTAAAATAAATTCCAGTAAATAAGTTAAAAGGGTAAGATAAAATTCTTATTGTTAAAATTCTTTTTTACTAAAAGACCGAATGTCCTCCGGTGAAGATCAATGGATTGCTTATCTCAGTTTAGGTGGGGTTGTGTCCTTTTCTTTTCCTCTTCTTTTGGTAGGTATCAAAATAGCATCATAATGATACTCACGCACAATGCACATGCCCATTCCCAGTTTGTGGAAAAGAGATCAAACAAAAAGAAGATGATGATAATGATTCACATAAAATGTAGTCAAATGAGATGGGAGAAATACAATAGGTAGTCCCGAAGGGACGGCCCAGTTGGGTTTGGAGTGCGTTTTCCATACGGAAGACGTAGGTTCGAAACCAGCTCTATGCTCTTCTGGGTCTGAGCCTGTCGCACGGGGCTTGCCTAGTGCGGTTCACATCCCTGTGTGGTTTGCAGGCTACTACACAGTGGGGGTTTACCCAGTGCGCACAGAGTGCTCACCACAGAGTGCTCACCCGAAAGGCAGAGGCTGTGGCAGAGGCTGTAGCGGCTGCGGGTTTTCCTGGGGTTCCAAAAAAAAGAAGAAATACAATAGGTAGCTTTTATGTGTCTTCACCCGTACATAAACCTAATCATGAATTCACAGACCCTCACACAAACAACAGTTGAAGGACTTATCAATAAAATACTATGTGAACATATGTTAAGGTCATACCAGCAGATATGATGAGTGCTTGAGCAGTATAATTGAGATTTGCCTTTGCCCAAGGAATTGTCCGCACAGCAACCAACTGAGCATCAGAGAGCCAACATTTATAAGCTACAGAAAATTGATAGAAGAAATAGCCTTCTCCCTTTTAATGAATATATTCTCCATCACAGCAATGGTCTCACAGCACCAAAGTGTTAGAAAGAGGAGTAGATATTAACAAAAGAAGGGTCTGTTCCATGAAGGTAATATATCATCACCGGTCATACTTATCTAGAGCAAGATCATTTTTAATTATCTAGTTTTGACGAACAAAAAATCCAAAATGAAGTTCAAAAGCAATATTGTACTTCTATAATATAGTCTAAATCAAAAAAAATGCTTGGGATATAATCAGATCACTAGAAGAACATCAGTTCACGAACCGTAGGAATTGCACTAGCAACACATGCAATTGCAGCTGCTTTAGTTCCCGCACGGACACCCTCTGCAAGTTCAGCAAAATCAAAATGCACAAACAAAATCAGGTATTAGACATATCTTTTCCACTAAATCGAAATAGCCAAAATTTATAAAGAGGCAAACTTCAAATATAGCATGTACATTAATTAGCAGAGCAAAAGAAGAACGAGAGAACTTTCTTTTTACATTGTCAACATAGCAGTTGAAGTAATATTCATACCACAACTAGGTAAAGAACAGAGCATTCAAAATTTTGAATGCACTGAAATATGTATAAGAGGAATCAACCTAAAACCAAGAATTGCAAATATTTAATCGATAACATAACAGAACTCGAGTCAACTTCCTAACAGCTGCTGTTTTCTTTTTTATAAGTTTTCATAACAACCTACAGACATGAGAAGTGAAACAAATATAAACTAACGGAACTTGAAATTAGCAAAGATATCATCCAACACGAAGTTTCTTTTCCTTCATGATCATGACGAGATTTATCAACAGCAAACCAACTTCAAAGACAGAAGAAAATCTAATGTCAGAAACCTGATCACTTTAAGTCTGTAACCAACCAGAAAGCAGAAGCAACTTTAGAGCTTTTTGGTTTTTTTTTTTTTTACGGGGGGGG